CTAAAAAAAAAAAAAAAAAAAAAAATCCACAATAGATTTGTTTAAGACTCTGTCATCATTCTCAAACCCTTGCAAAATCTGCAGTTCCTGAAGAGATCAATTCCACGACAATTTTGTGTTAATAAGAAATAAATTAGACTTGTGAACATTTAGAGATAGAATTGCCAGGCAAATCTCACAATGTATAGTTGAGGTAGCATGAAGAAGTGAAATGTGTGGGTTTAACTTAGGTATTGACCATGCTAATAGGGGCCCACTTAAGGGAAAAATGTGTTGCCTCTGATGGTTTGCAACGTCTTCAGTTCTGTAGATATTTTAGAATAGAACTTGTGACAAAAGAGTGAGACATAGTAGGTCTTATGTGGAAGGCCTTCTCACAGATTCCAATTTTCATAAATAAGAATTGTTTTCTACATTAAAATGCCATAATGAGACCATAAAAATATGTGAACCATCTCTATAAACTAAAAAATATGCCCTGTGGCCTCATTAAGTCACCATCAAAGAATGAAAATTTTCTCAATTGAAAAAAAAAAAGGTTTTGGTGGTAATCTAGGAAAATAGCTCCCTCTTATGGGAACTTTTGATTTAGGCAGGATCAAATTGATTAACAAAATGTCATTCCAGGGAATATATGCAATGAAAGGGGATGAGAACCTTTTACAAACAAATTGAAATTCTTCAAAAATAGTATAATATTAAAATACTTTTAAAATTTTAATGCAGTCCCTTTATCCTTGCCAAAGGGGCCAACCACATTCTCCAAAACAGCCTCTTTAATAAGTAGTGCTAGAAAAAATGGCTTTCCACATGCCAAGGACTAAAACTAGACCCATGTCTATCACTAGGCCATATACTAAAATTGAAATGGATCAAATATCTCAATATTAAAACAGAGACTCTAAATCTTATGGAAGAGATAATAGGTAGAACCTCTGAAAACATAGGAGTAGGCAAAGACTTCATGAACAAAGCCCTGATCACTTGGGAATAATACAAAGAAACAACAACAGTGATTGGTCCCTATTGAATGCTTTTCAAATAAAAAGTGATCACAAACAGAGTGAAGTGTCAACAAATATAGTTTGAAAATATTCTAGCTTCTTTTTCTCAAAGGACTTATATCTAGAACATGTAAAGAATTGAAAGAAATCAGACACAACCCAGTTAAGGACCTCATCTGAAAGCATTCAATGTCCCTGATCATTTGAGTGATACCAGTTAAAATGATGCTGAAATTCCATCTCACTCCAGAAAGAATAGCTGTTACCAATAAATCAACCAACAACAAATGCTAGCAGGGCCGTGAGGGAAAATAATTTCCCCACTGCTGATATGAGTGCAGACTGGTGCAATCGCAGTAGTAATCCATGTGGAGACTCCTCAAAAAGATAAATTTTGAAAAACCTCTGAGTTGTTTAATATCAGCAGATTTTCTATACAGGAAGTTTATAATAAAATATCCCAAAGTGTCTGTTGCATTCACAACACTGTATTACATTTCCATCGCTCTTTAATTTCAATTCCTCCTCCTTTGCTGGTACTTCCTTCGTTTTGTAAATTAAAAACTCTTGGATACACACACACACACACAAAAAAAAAAAAAAAAAAAAAACACCTCAAACTAAAGGTTCCATTTGACCCAGATATCTAAATATCTTTCTTCTTGGTATCCTCTTGAAAGAATTAAAAGCAGTGTACCTCGGTGATCCACGCACACCTGTGTTCATAGTGGCACAGTTTTAATAGGTAAATCTTGGAAATAGCCTGAGTGCACGTCACCCAATGAAAGGATAAAGAAGATTTGGGTTTTTTATATAATGCTGTAGAACGCTGTTATAAATAAGGACAAAGTTGAGATATATCTAGGTGACTGGATGTATCTTGACACCTTATTGTTAAGTAAACTACTTGGACACATATGTGTAAATATTACATTGTTTCTCTGATTTGAGAAACCAAAAGTTTAGATAAGGATGAAAGGTACAATAGATATAGTGAAATAGGAAGGAAATGTTCAAACAGGAAAGGAAAGTAGGGAGGGGAAGGGAAATAAATCAGGGGAAATGGAAACAAGATTTTATAAATAGGTGAAGGGGTGATGAATGAGCGGAGGGGAACATGAAAAAAAAGAATCAAGATATATCATGAACATGAACAAATTCTGCACAAAAGTGTGATTATACTGTAGATCTAATTCATACCAATAAAACCAATTAATTAAAAATCTTAAAATATAAAACACTAATTATATTTCCCCTACCTTCAACAGAGGTGAAATCCATGGGCAGTTACCAACCATCTTGGAAAATTTGATCTATCTTTATAAAATATCATGTGCTTCATCATATTAGGCTAAATCTTGAGACTGGTATATCTTTATGTTCCTTTTATGAATTA